CCCCCCCCCCGGACGGGCCGCCTGCCACTGGCAGTTTCTGCGGGTGCCTCCCCAGACTCAGGAGGCACGAGTCGCTCGTGAATGTGGACAACATTTTAAGGTTTAATGGACACTCAAAGCCACTTCTGCCGCAGCACTGCTTCTGGCAAAAGGTCCCAACCCTGGCCAGCCATAAAGGTTTCCTTCATTTCACAACACGCGTGCACACGGGTTCTCAAGTGTCTGGTTATGGAGTTCTGCTCGGAAGCAAAGCAATGACATTTCCTCGGCTAATGCTAGAAACTCACCTGGCTCATGGAGTTCCCTTAAAAACTAAGTCAAGAGGCCGTCATGAGTTTTGGATGTTGAACGTGGTTTTTGTTCCTTCTCTCAGGAATTCCAAGACCTTTGGCCTCAGCTATCCTTGGTCATTGACGGCGGTCCGATTGGAGACACTCAGAGTCCAGAATGTCGTCTGGGATCAACGGTGGTCGATTTGTCTGTGTCTGGGAAATACACTATTATTCGGCCAGGCTGGTAAGCCCCTTTGCTGAGTGTGGCTGCAGTTTGTGCTTTAGGTGAAATACAAACGTGCTTAAGGGTGGGCTTGTTTTCCTGAGTTCTTTACAGTGCATTAGCGCAGATTGTGTCCATAGAAAAAGGCTTCTTTAACTGTCTGTATCTGCAGCCCCTAAATGTGGAGAACCCACTTAGGTGCTGGGCTCGGAAGGGGAGGACTTGCTAACTTTTGTTTTTGCAAGTTCTGAAAAGTACAGTACCGTCCCTCTCTCCTGCTGCAAGCTGAAGGCGACTGCTCAGCTTGTCCTTGCATTCTCCCACCCTTGGAGTGCTCACCTGCATCCCAAGGGAAACGCTTTTCCCACTGAGAAGCGTAGCTCCTTTCTGGTCTTCACTCCCCCTGCCTTTCTTTCTGCAGTGCTCTGGGTCCTACAGTCGAAATCCTGAAGCAGAAGTACGGCTTGACGTCAGAACCTTCTTGAGAAACTGAACTCTGCCGGAGCCCTGCAGGGTCGGGAAAGCTGGGCACCGTGTGCCTGTGTCCTCAGGCGTCCAGTGTCATGGCCTTGTTTAATAAGGCCCATCATCTTCCTGTCCGAGCTCATTACACAAGAGTGCCGGTGGCTGGGTGCCTGCATGCTGGCACTTGGTCTGCTGGACTTTGGTAAGGAACCAAACCAGGGTTTGTGTCATCTCCCTTGGACTATTGTAATATCTCCAAGCACCCTTGTGCAGATGGATGTGTTTGCCCAAATTGGAGAGACATTTCAGCTTTGAAATAAAAAGGAAAAAAACCCTGAACGCAAGACTCACAACGTGTCGATGGGCTGTGACACTGACCGGAGCCTTGTTAGCAACATCCCGTGGTTTTTCAAGGCTCTTCATTTAGTTCCTGTGAATATCAGGACTGCACAGCTGCATCTCCTCTGGCTTTGAAGCGGCCGATCCACCCCTGTTCAGATCTCTTGTAGAGAGAACCTTTTACTCCACCAGGTTGGCAGGTGTCTGTGTGAAGCAGTGGGGGTTTTTTAGACTGAAGCAGTGTCTCGGGATGCCATGTTCTGCATAAAGTCCAGCCAAACCCTGCTCTTTCCAATGGAGATGAGCAGGACAAACTTCTGCTGCACTTTATGCACCATAAGAAGATCCATTTTGGAAGGTACCTCTTTGAGCAAGAGTTAATTCCTGTGCTGGGGAGACGTTTCAGAAGTTTCCTGAGCTGCAGATATTAGACTCTATCCCTTACGGACTGTTGGCTTCCTTTCTTAGAACAACTGCAGTCTGAACTCTATCTGTAGGGCAGTGAACAAGCTCAGTGGATTAAGATGGATGTAACAGGAAGAGAATAGGCAGCTTTCATTCAGTATTTATAGTGGGATCGCTAGAGTGTCATTAGTCTGTTCTTGGGGGTATTGCTTATTAGTACCATGGATCAATCTTTCTATTTAATTTGGCTGTAAATAGTTATTTTTTAAGATGCTTTGACCTCTGAAATGAACTGTTTTGTGCATAAGAGCTTGCTTCTGGCCATTGGTGCCCTTTCATTTTTTCTGGGGGCTAAACTGGGTGCTGCTGTGCAGAGTAATGCCAAAACCCCAGCAGCAATGCCTGCAGAGCCTAGATGCTCTTTTGAGTCAAAGAAGTTCTTTACAGTCTGGCTGACAGAAGAGGATCATTGCTTACCCCTGTCAGTGGATGCGTTTGGCTGCTGTGCACAAAATACGGTGACAAGACTAGATTCTCTTGCACTCGCATGCTCTTTCCTGCCAACCAAATCAATGATTCCCAACTGCAGCAGCACCATGTCAGCACTGTTAGGTGTGCAGTCACCTACACGTGACTCGCAAGATAAATGGATTTCCAGTAGGAAGCCAGTGTCAGAAACATCCTGACCGGCTGTGGGCTTTGGAGTTCTTTGAAACAGAAAAATTGCTCTGTTTTTCTGTAGTCAGAGAACCGAGAGCTCCAAGACCTTCCATTTTCTGAGGCATGTTTGGTGTCTAAAACAGGTTGAGAGCCACGGGAGTAGATGATGCTTTCAGTCTTTAATCATGACAAAAAATATCCAGATGCTAACTCCTTCCAGAGGTTTAGAAGGCATGTAAATCGAACAGTAGTAGTCGGAGAGCCTAATGGCACCAACTCAGTCTGGAGCTGCCACTTTTTATTGATAGAAAGACGAGTACGAACAGATTTAGAGGGCCTGAGCATTCTCCTGTTACAAAAAGATCCCACAAATCAAACCTTGTTGTGGGAGAACACAATGGCAATGTTATTGCAAGTGTTTGCTCTTCTCTCTAGAGGAGAGAATAAACCCAGGTGTGAACTTTGAACACACACACGAAGCAGTCAGTTGCAAACTTTTAGTACAGACGGTTGCATTTCATTGGTTTCCCGTACACGTTACAGGTTAAATGGTCACCAGCATTCCAGCTTTAGCCGCACCTAGTGGCTTGCGTACAGCGGATTACAGGGAAGGCACCCAAAGCGGAGCCCTTGGTATAAAACATGCTTGCCCTGAAGCAAAGGTTTTTAACTGCGTGGTTTAGTTTCCTTGGAAGGGTTTACTGGAGAGGAAGAGTTATTCTGTTCTACAGTAAGCTGATAAGGGAGATGCATTATCAGAGCATTAGTGGGGGGGGAAAGGGTACATGGTTGCTGCAGGCAACTGGCTGAGGGCATAAAGTAGAATGCATGCCGGGGGTGGGAGCCCAGCAAATGCGTAAAACGCCACAAAACAAATGCACCGGAGGAAAGGCTGAGGCCTCTGCCCTGCTCTGTAACAGCCCGGTTCAGACCCCAGGAGGGCATTGAAGAGGTTACTGTGCTAACCTGCAGCGGAACAGACTGCTCCGTGGAGATCCCTCTGCTCGTTCAACCTTCCTGTGACTTCAAGTGTAGGGGCAGTTCATGGAGGACACTGTTACAGCACCTGGACAAGCTAACAGCTCTACGCAGACTCGGAGGCTCTAGCTGCTTTCTCAAGCTTCCCCTGGAGCACTGGATCCCAGAGCAGACTTAACCTGACCTTTCAGTAAGGTAAAGACCAGAAGCCACCTGTGCACAGCAGTCACATCAGCCACTGCTCCTTCTTGCTGAAATGTTCTGCCCACCGGCGGGTCGGCTCCAGGTACATGTTGGGCTGGTGCAGCTGGTAGTCCAGGTACAGGTGCGTCGCTGTCTTGGGCACAGCTTTCTCGATCTGGGTGCCTTCATGCCACTCGTTGAAGGACGTGATGGAGACTATCTCTGGCCTCACCTGAAGGCGGCCTGCAGGGCTGTCTCGTAGTATTTCCCGTTGATGCGGTTCTGTGTGTGGTGGCTTTCCGGGGCGGGTGGTAGTGTTGATGTAGCCAGGCCCAACGCTGGGGATGAACATGAGGTTGCTGGAGTCGCAGAAAGCCTTGATCGCTTTCCAGTTTCGGTGGGAGGAGCCGAAGGAAAAGCCATTGGATGTGAAGTATGTGTACATGCCTTCATAGCCGGCAGAGAGGATGTCGTGCTTGTGCCCCTCCTCCACCAGCAGCTCTATGAACAAGCCGTTGTAAGGGGTGTTGCGGCCAGAGTGGGAGCCCGTCGGGGTGAGCAGGTTGGCCCAGGACTCGGCGGGCGTCAGGTAAGAGTCGTAGACGTAGAACAGGGGCAGGCTCCTGCCAGTGCTCGTCTTGTACTTGTAGAAAGCGCCATGTGAGCCGTAGCTAGAGATGGGGAGAGAGCGCGCACAAGCCATGTCAGTACTGACACTGGGTCAGGCCAACAGTCCATCTAGCCTGGGAGCCCGTCTCTGACTCGGGCGTAACAAATGCTTTGGGGGGGAGTGTAAGATGTGTAGCGTGTTTCCTCCCTGCATTGCTAATTTGTCCCCCAGCATTGAACTCCAAGCTGGCTCTGATCTCTGCAGCTGGCCTCTGTTTCTGGGTCTTAGGTTAATAGAAGAGATGCGGAGTACTCAATCGGGAAAAGACTAAACCTCTGGGGCTTGCAGATTAGCACTTAAGGGACTGTCTGTCATTGTGGCTTTCTGCTTTGCTGTGTTTCTGGGTTTGATTCTACTGAACCCCTCTGCCCTGCAGCATAACTGACTAAGGGGCAGGTCAGAAAGGAAAGAATAGGGGAGAATTTGAGCATTTTGGTGCAAAGCTGCAGAAAACTGCTCGCCTGTGGTCTGGGCGTGGAGGTGGCAGTTGCAGCAGCAGCAGCATAACTGCGGCCAGGTTTCTCCAGCTTGGTGAAGCACCTGGTGCATAAACCCCGGAGGTCTATCCCTTGGCTCCACACATCAGCGCAGAGCTGCACTGGTGTTCGGCAAGGCGGCACTTACTTGTCCAGGATGTATTTGATGTTCTCGTGCACAGTGTGGTCATCCCGCCCCTTGTACGGCTGGATGTGGAAGGTCACCTTCGAAACAAGTCAGAGAGAGTTAGCTCACAGCTCTGCAGGAGGGTGGGCTCCAGGGACAGGCCAGCAGTGCCCAGGCCTTTTGAAGAGGTCCCCCTGCCCATCTCTCATGGAGCAGCTGGAAGCTCTTGGCAGCCCCCTCCTAGGCACCAGGCTAACAGCACAGCACATCTCGCACCCAGCCCACCCTTTGGAGCCAGGACAAAACAGGCTCTCAGCTTTCATGTTGGTGAGACCTAAGCTGTAATCGCACCCACAGGGCTCCTGCTTGTGCTCGATGGCTGCAAAACAGAATCCCTCGCTGCCTCATGCAGCAAGCAGGTAAAGAGCTGCTGAGCTGGCAGCAGAAGCACCGCAGGCATTTGAGCAATTTGTTTAATCGCTTCCAGCAACAGGCAGGAGAAGCCCTACCTTTATAGCGTATCGGTGCACGGCATCCAGGATGAACGGCACCAGGCTTTTGGACGGGTACCACGACAGCACCAGGACTCCTGTAGCAGAAGGCAACCACACGCCTGTGTTCAGACCCGGCCTGCCTTCAGCTTCCCACGCAGCGCTGGGCCTGGCAGTGACTTCTAGTCCTTCTGCCTGCGGTGAGGGACCCACTACCTCGAGGTCTCGAGGGCAGCGGTGCCTTGGGTTTGGGAGGGAGACCCTCTACAGTAGGAACATTTGAACCTGGGTCTATCCTAACGATGGACCTCTTCTTTGTCACTCAGGTAGGTGGAGATGGCTGTAACTACCCACAAGTGGGGGGCCTTTGGGGTATCGCTAGCCATAGATTAGCAGTGGATGCATTTTCTCAGTAGCAGTCTACCCAAATAATTACTTGCTAATTAAATGGCCCCAGGAGCGTGCTACAGAAGGGGCAGGGCCCAGCACGTGGAAGGATGTTATTGTTGGCAGGATCAGCTGCACTATCCTGGGGTCAGAGCTCGGCTGCAACCAGGCAGGGTTTCTTGTGGGCCCCTGGTCCTGCAGAAGCTGCCCCGCACAGCTCGGCTGGCACTACACAAAGGCCTAAAGTTTGGGGCAGAGACCAGAGTCTTGCACAGGGAAGAAAGCCTGAGTGGGTTCCCCCCGGTGTTGGGTTTTTTTTGTAAATTGGATCCTGTTCCCACAGCTCGAGCCAGCTGAGGGGCACGGACATCCCTGCTCCTTGCGGTCGTGGCTTTTAGGGCTGATTCCAACCTCCGGGCTGCACACCTGGGTGGACGAGGGACCCCCCAAAAACACTTCGACGCCTCTCACCATGATCGCTTGATCCCAGCACCCTTTCCCGCCCCTGTGCGGATGACCTGTAAGGTCCCTCCCAGCCACTTGGCCCAAGGCCATTGGCAAAAACGATGCGATTGTGTCTTTGCCACGCGTGAGGAGTCAGGCGGGCACCCCAGGGAGTGGTGGCGCGGCCCTGCCAGCGCTGTCCGCGGTGCTGAAACACGCCTGGCCCGGCTGCCCGGGGGGGAGCGGGGGTGAAGCCTGGCTCCAGCCACGTGCTGAGGTCGGCCCCGGCCCCCGGGCTGTAGACGGGGCACGCTCCGCCCGGCTGCGCCCCTACTGCCTGCGCTGCCACTGTGCCCACTGTGCCCGCCTGAGCCGCACCTGGCTGCCAACCACGAGGGTGGGCGGGCGGGCGCGCGCCCACAATGCAGCACGTAGGGGACGGTGGGCTCCCCTTCACCCCCCCTTTCCCCAGGTGGTATGGTCTGTGTTAACCCCTTCCCCATGGGTGCAGGCTCTCTGCAAACTCTGGCAGGTGGGGGGGGGGGCCTTCCCCAGTCTACAGGGGTCCCCCCACCCCAGGAGCTGGTGGCCCCTCTGCAGGGGGAGGTTGCCAAGCTGGAGGGGCAAGAGGCTGAGTGAAGGCAGCCCTGCTGACGGGCTTCTCCTCCCACCCTCAAGTGCCCCCCCGTATGGAGATGCTCCCCGGGGCCAGTGCTCCCCTGCAGTCGGAGCAGGTTGTCGGGGGCCTTGCGCTCAGCCCATGTCTCTGGGGAGGGTCTTGCCCTGCCAGGCATGGGCACCCTTTCCCTAGGGAGCTATGGCAGGCACGGGCCCATGTGGTACCCATGCACACTGTGGAGCCAGCCAGGGGCTCAGGCTTTCCTCCCCACAGCCTGGGTTGTGATCGCAAAGCCAGCACGGTGCCTGGCCTTGTGTTGCTGGATTCAGGGGTCACTAGGGTCAAGCGCTCAGATCAGCAGCAGGGTTCACTCTGGCCCTGCCGTGCTGCTGGTCGTTGCCTCCAGCTGCCTGCAGCCTGGTTGGAAGGAGGCAGCCCCCCGAGCCACTTCTGCAGCAGAACAACTTGCATCCCGTTGCAGCGACTGCATCCCATTGCACTGCCCTGGCAGCTTCAGCAGAGAGGCTGAGGCCCGGCTGGGAGCTTTTCAAGGCAGGGTTCCTCCCTCCATCTCCGGGGAAGGGCCCTCCAGCTTGGAGAGGTGAGCTCTGGTGGGACCATGTGAGTGCTGGAGACGCGAAGAGTGCTCACGCTATGTTTCCACGTGCCGTTCCTGCTCTCTGGATGCGCAGCGCTCCAGTCTCCAGGGCTGCCAGCCCGTCTCTCGCCACTTGCAGTAAATCATTTAAATAAAGCATTATAGAACAAGCCATCCTGCCTTTGAAACCAGGGCTATTGACTGGGCGATAAGAAGAAAAAACTCTCACAGCATGGGGAGCATAATTAATTCGTATTAAAGTGGCTTTCATGCGACAGATGTTCTTCCAGCAGCCGCAGCCGAGGATAATGGGAGTTTTCTGAAGTCATCCAGAGTCAGGAGGAGTGTGTTTGTTCCTTTGGGGACTCGGCGGATCCGGGGAATGACAGGACCAGGCTGGGAACAAGACAGCAGCAGCCACGGGCTCACGTGTTAATTTGCTGCCTGCCAACCTGTCCTGCTGCTCTTTGGAGGAGGATCTGGGGCCAAATTCTGGCCAGGAAGGCATGGATCTGAATGAGCTGCACCCATCGGAGGTGGTGTGAGTACAGGGTGAGCCAGGCCTCCCCCATGCACGTGAGCTGCGTGCATCACAACTGCTCTCCAGTCTGCCTCTGGCTTGGACAAGGGGCCCTCGAGCATCCCTCTGAATGAGGAAGATTGTGTGTGCCATTGTCCCTTCTCTGAGGAGAGGGGGAAAGCAAGTCATTCACCCCAGAACGGAGCCAACCGAGCATCTTGACGCCTGCATCAAATGCAGACTTCAAGGGCAATCCGTTCCCACTGAGCCAGGTCTTCAGATGCCTTTTCCCCTGCAGTCAGAGCTGCACTGCTGCTCGCAGACGTGGCGGGGACAGTGACCGAGCACAGAGCATCTGAATGAGGCACCGGGGCCTTTCCTGGGACATAAAGACGCTCAGTTTAGTGCCAAAACTGCAATAGTGGCAGCATGTTCCCAGATCGATCGGATGGATTTCAGCAAGGACAAGCGGGGCAGGACACTGCAAGTGCAGATACAGCCTGGGGGAGGGCTGCTGGGCTGCCAGCCCGCAGAGAAGAAGCTGGGAGTTGCAGGGGACGGAAGCTGAATATGAGCCAACAGGCTGCCCTCGTTGCAAAAAAGGCCCGTAGCCCGCAGGGCTGTATTAACAGGACGGAGATCACTTGCAAATCAAGGTTCTCCGGCTCTGGTTGGCACTCCTGAGGCTTCCCCCGTGTCCAGTTTTGGGCCCTGCACTTTAGGAAAGATGTGGACAGATTGGGAAGGCCATCAGACAGTGACAACAGCAATTCGAGACCTGGGAAACCTGATTTACAAGGAAGGGTTGAAAGAACTGGGATTAGTTAACCTGGAGAAAAGAAGCCTGTGGGGAGATTTGATAACAGGCCTCAGAGACCCGAAGGGTGGTTATACGGAGCATGGAGACAGGATCTTGTCTGTGGCTACTGTCTTGAGAAAGCACTGGTGGGACCCCAGCCAGAGGGGTTTTCAGGAGCAAGCTGGACGGACACGGGCCTGGGGTGGTTCAGACAAGGATGAGATGTGACTTCCTGAGGACCCTGCAAGCCTAGCCATGGTCTTGTCCTGGCCTGGTTACGTTGCACCTTTGGAGGAGAAGGCAGGGAATGCAGCAGGGCCTGGGGAGGGATGCTTCACGTCGGGGAGAGGCTGGCAGCCTGCGGAGCTCTCCGAGCATCTCGGGAGCACGGAGAAGCCAGGGCTTGGTTTTATGCAGGGCAGCACGGTCCCTTGCCTAGAGCATCCAGCTGGGCCACCCTGCACCTAGATAAAAGGCTGAGCTCGGGGCTGGTGGGCGCAGTAGTGCTGGGCGCTGTGTGCTGGGCCTTTGCCTTATTGCAGCCGGACCACGCAGCAAAGAGGACGGCATTCCCTGATGCGGAGACCTGCTCCGTGCAGGGGCTTTGTCAGCTGCGGCAGAGCCGTCTCCTTTTGGCCACTGGCCAGCCCACGGCCCCATGCTGTTAAGGGCAAATCACCTGCAGAACATCTTTTAATAGTGGAAGAAATAACTCGATTAGCAGTTATTGGTGCAGAACAGTGGGGGCCTCTGCAAAGTTAAATGAGTGCAGGGATGGGCTGTTTCCCTGCCGCCGCCTGTCAGGTTTGTCATCTAATTACAGGGCGATGCGGTACCACAGCTCAGGGAATGGGAGAAAAGGCTCAGGGTAATTGTATTGGTCATATTTTGTAGCCACTAATTACTTGCTTGGCAATTAATGACTTTCTGCGGTCAGCTGGGGAGCTATCAGGGCCGTGGCCGGGCTGCAGCAGCCTTGTGCTTCTGACCAGGAAACTTTTATTCATTACTTTCTGAAAGGCAGCGTGGAGCCCAGGATGGGTCCTCTTTCCTCCAAAAGTGCCTGCCACAGCCCGGGCACCCCAGGCCACATCCACAGCCAAGCCACGTTCTTTCTCTGTGCCTCGGTGTCCCTGCCTGTGATGCTGCTACTGACCCTCCGGTGATGCCTGCCGAGAGCTTCAGACGAGAAGGGACTGGCTTTGGGATTCACAGGGGTCAAGCACCAAGAGGTGGGAGGACCCGGAGCTAGGCAGAGGCAGGGGGCAACGGGGGGGGATCAGCCACCTCCTGCTCAAAGCCGCTGTTACCGAGCCAGGCCGAGGGGCTGATGGCACAGCAAGCGGCAGAGCTTGCCTGCATGCATAGCCAGGGCCAGGTGCTACCTCTGCCTACTCGCTGGGGCTCGTTGAAGGCTACTGGCCCTGCAGGGCTCCATAAGGCTTGGCAGGACTGGATTGCGATGGAGACTTGGAGTGAGGCGGGGAAGCTGACACGTCTAGATTTGAGAAACCAACTAGCAGCGGCCTGCAGCGGGTCACCATTCAGCGAGCTTGGCTGGGCCAGGCTCTGGGGAGAGGCAGCCAGAGCCGAGCCTAGACACGCAAGGACAGGCCGTGGGGTGGCCGGAGTGGGGAAGTAGCTGGGCCCGAGTGTCAGTGCGGGGGGGCTGTTTGACATGGCACCAAACCCGCTGAGCCTGGCGTCCCTCTGTGCAGCCGGAGCCCACGG